AAAATTTCTAAAATTTTTCCAAGCTCCAAATTTAGAATTTTTAGAATTTTTAAAAATTCAATTCTAAAAATTCTAAATTTTTCCAAGCTCCAAATTTAGAATTTTTAGATTTTTTAGAATTCAAAGCTGGATTTGGGGAAGTTGAACTAATTCTAAATTTTTCCAAGCTCCAAATTTAGAATTTTTAGAATTTTTAGAATTCAATTCTAAAATTTCTAAAAATTCTAAATTTTTCCAAGCTCCAAATTTAGAATTTTTAGAATTCAATTCTCAAAAATCTAAAAATTCTAAATTTTTCCAAGCTCCAAATTTAGAATTTTTAGAATTTTTAGAATTCAAAGCTGGATTTGGGGAAGTTGAACTAATTCTAATTTAGATTTTTTAGAATTTTTAGAATTCAATTCTAAAAATTCTAAAATTTCCCCAGCTCCAAATTTAGAATTTTTAGAATTTTTAGAATTCAATTCTACAAATTCTAAATTTTTCCAAGCTCCAAATTTAGAATTTTTAGAATTCAAAGCTGGATTTGGGGAAGTTGAACTAATCCTAATTTAGAATTTTTAGAATTTTTAGAATTGATTTCTAAAAATTCTAAAAATTCTAAATTTTTCCCAGCTCCAAATTTAGAATTTTTAGAAGTCAATTCTAAAAATTCTAAATTTTTCCAAGCTCCAAATTTAGAATTTTTAGAATTCAAAGCTGGATTTGGGATTTAGAAATTTTAGAATAATTTTTCCCAGCTCCAAATTTAGAATTTTTAGAATTTTTAAAATTCAATTCTAAAAATTCTCAATTTTTCCAAGCTCCAAATTTAGAATTTTTAGAATTTTTAAAAATTCAATTCTAAAAATTCTAAATTTTTCCAAGCTCCAAATTTAGAATTTTTAGAATTTTTAGAATTCAAAGCTGGATTTGGGGAAGTTGAACTAATTCTAATTTAGAATTTTTAGAATTGAATTCTAAAAATTCTAAATTTTTCCCAGCTCCAAATTTAGAATTTTTTGAATTTTTAGAATTCAATTCTAAAATTTCTAAAAATTCTAAATTTTTCCAAGCTCCAAATTTAGAATTTTTAGAATTCAATTCTAAAAATTCTAAAAATTCTAAATTTTTCCAAGCTCCAAATTTAGAATTTTTAGAATTTTTAGAATTCAAAGCTGGATTTGGGGAAGTTGAACTAATTCTAATTTAGAATTTTTAGAATTTTTAAAATTTTTAGAATTGAATTCTAAAAATTCTAAAAATTCTAAATTTGGAGCTTGGAAAAATTTAGAATTTTTAGATTTTTTAGAATTGAATTCTAAAAATTCCAAAAATTTTCAATTTGTAGCTGGGAAAAATTTAGAATTTTTAGAATTTTTAGAATTGAATTATAAAAATTCAAAAAATTCTAAATTTGGAGCTGGGAAAAATCTAGAATTTTTAGAATTTTTAGAATTGAATTCTAAAAATTCTAAATTTGGAGCTGGGGAAAATTTAGAATTTTTAGAATTTTTGAGAATTGAATTCTAAAAATTCTAAAAAATCTAAATTAGAATTAGTTCAACTTCCCCAAATCCAGCTTTGAATTCTAAAAATTCTAAATTTGGAGCTTGGAAAAATTTAGAATTTTTAGATTTTTTAGAATTGAATTCTAAAAATTCTAAAAATTCTAAATTTGGAGCTGGGAAAAATTTAGAATTTTTACTAAAAAAAATTAAAAAATCTAAAAATTCTAAATTAGAATTAGTTCAACTTCCCCAAATCCAGCTTTGAATTCTAAAAATTCTAAAAATTCTAAATTTGGAGCTTGGAAAAATCTAGAATTTTTAGAATTTTTAGAATTGAATTCTAAAAATTCTAAAAATTCTAAATTTGGAGCTGGGAAAAATTTAGAATTTTTAGAATTTTTAGAATTGAATTCTAAAAATTCTAAAAAATCTAAATTAGAATTAGTTCAACTTCCCCAAATCCAGCTTTGAATTCTAAAAATTCTAAATTTGGAGCTTGGAAAAATTTAGAATTTTTAGAATTTTTAGAATTGAATTCTAAAAATTCTAAATTTGGAGCTTGGAAAAATTTAGAATTTTTAGAATTTTTAGAATTGAATTCTAAAAATTCTAAAAATTCTAAATTTGGAGCTGGGAAAAATTTAGAATTTTTAGAATTTTTAGAATTGAATTCTAAAAATTCTAAAAATTCTAAATTAGAATTAGTTCAACTTCCCCAAATCCAGCTTTGAATTCTAAAAATTCTAAAAATTTTAAATTTGGAGCTTGGAAAAATTTAGAATTTTTAGATTTTTTAGAATTGAATTCTAAACATTCTAAAAATTCTAAATTTGGAGCTGGGAAAAATTTAGAATTTAGAATTTTTAGAATTGAATTCTCAAAATTCTAAAAATTTTAAAAATTCTAAAAATTCTAAGTTAGAATTAGTTCAACTTCCCCAAATCCAGCTTTGAATTCTAAAAATTCTAAATTTGGAGCTTGGAAAAATTTAGAATTTTTAGAATTTTTAGAATTGAATTCTAAAAATTCTAAATTTGGAGCTGGGAAAAATTTAGAATTTTTAGAATTCAATTTTAAAAAGGGTAGGAAATTTGTTTGGGGATTTTTTTTTTAGTTTGGGGAATTTTTTTTGGATTTCCGGTTCTCACCATTTTCCATGCTATTTGCAGCATTTTGGAGCTGGAAACTGCCGTTTCCACGGTATGCGCAACGGTTTTGAGTTCGAACCTCTCATTTTCCATTGTATTTTCCACGGTATTTGCAACAGTTTGCAGCATGTTCTGTCCATTTTCCATGCTCTTTGCAGCATTTTTGAGCTGGAATCTGCATTTCCACCGTATGTGCAACATTTTACAGCTACATTCCTCACAGTACTTGCAGGATTTTGGAGCTGAAGGCTGACATTCCAACAGTTGTTTGTTGTTACTGTTACTGTTGTTGGTGTTGGTGTTGGTGTTGTTGTTGTTGGTGGTGTTGTTGTTGGTGGTGGTGGTGGTGGTGGTCGTGTTGTTGCTGTTGCTGTTGCTGTTGTTAGTGTTAATGTTAGTGTTGTTAGTGTTGTGTTAGTGTTGTGTTAGTGTTGTGTTAGTGTTGTGTTAGTGTTGTGTTAGTGTTGTGTTAGTGTTGTGTTAGTGTTGTTGTTGTTGTTGTTGTTGGTGGTGGTGGTGTTGTTGTTGTTGGTGGTGGTGGTGGTGGTGTGGTGTTGTTGTTGGTGTTGTCGTTGTTGTTGTTGTTGGTGGTGTTGTTGTTGTTGTTGTTGTTGTTGGTGTTGGTGTTGTTGTTGTTGTTGTTGTTGTTGTTGTTTTGTGGTTGTTGCTGTTGCTGTTGCTGTTGTTAGTGTTGCTAGTGTTAGTGTTGTTAGTGTTGTTAGTGTTGTTAGTGTTGTTAGTGTTGTTAGTGTTGTTAGTGTTGTTAGTGTTGTTAGTGTTGTTAGTGTTGTTAGTGTTGTTAGTGTTGTGTTAGTGTTGTTGTTGTTGCTGTTGTTGTTGTTGGTGGTGGTGGTGTTGTTGTTGTTGCTGCTGTTGTTGTTGGTGGTGGTGGTGTTGTTGCTGGCGGTTGTGTTTGTGTTGATAGTGTTGTTATTGTTGTTGTTGTTGTTGTTGTCGTTGTCGTTGTCGTTGTCGTTGTTGTTGTTGTTGTTGGTGTTGTTCCACACCTCATGGAAAAGCAAAAAAGCAAAGAAAAGCAAAAAAGCAAAAAAGCAAAGAAAAGCATGAAAAGCAAAAAAGCAAAGAAAAGCAGAAAAGCGAGAAAAGCAAAAAAGCAGAAAAGCGAGAAAAACAAAAAAGCAAAGAAAAGCAAGGAAAGCAAAAACGCAAAAAAGCAAAGAAAAGCAAGAAAAGCAAAAAAGCAAAGAAAAGCAGAAAAGCGAGAAAAGCAAAAAAGCAAAAAAGCAAAGAAAAGCAAGGGAAGCAAAAAAGCAAAAAAGCAAAGAAAAGCAAGAAAAGCAAAAAAAGGAATAGAAGCAAAGAAGCAGAGAAGCACTGCAGGAGGCAATAGAGTAAGCAGGAAGAAATCCAAAAAAAAATCCCTAAACTAAAAAAAAAAAATCCCTAAATAAATGGCCCTCCTTTTAAAAATTCTAAAAATTTTAAAAATTCTAAATTAGAATTAGTTCAACTTCCCCAAATCCAGCTTTGAATTTGTAAAAATTCTAAATTTGGAGCTTGGAAAGATTTAGAATTTTAGGATTGAATTCTAAATTCACGTGACCCAAATTTAGAATTTTTACAAGGAAAACGCGCCGCGCCACATAGTACATGTTTTTCCCTCGTACGGGGGCCCCCCCCCCCCTTGAAAGGCGGACCGAGACATAACCGGCCCAAACTCTTGCACTTGCACCGCTCGCCCCCTAATACTTGCTACGCAAGGGGGAACTCAGGTAGCTCACCGCTACCTTTCGAGATCTGTCCACATTGTGTTTATATATATATATACGTATGTATGTATGTATGTATATATATATATAGACAGTATATGTCCGATGTCCAGTCGCAAGTGTGTCGCGTTGGTCAAAAGAGGGCCTCATGATTCAGAAGCAACCAAGCAAAGCACCTCTCAAATTCAGAAGTGTTGCAGTGCTAACCTGCATCACCCTGTCTGTGATGCGCAGGATAATCAAGAGAGTCGATTCATGAAGTAAAGATCGTCCAAGACCGCCCCCACCAACACCTTTTAGTGTTTTTCAGTCTTGAGTATCCAACTTTGCAAGTACTGTCTCCGCTTGTTTTGCACCCCCTTGGATCCCAGAGTTATCCACCAACACATACCGTCCAGCGATCCAACCTGGGCTGGAAAATACTTGCTGAAGTATCATGAAATATCCATTACAAATGAATTGTCCATTGCCCCTCAAAAAGTGAAAATAGTAATTTATTTCCACTGACTTTCCCATGTTTTCCGTCAGAAAGTGCACTGTTCATGATTTTCCCCTGGTGTTTCCCAATGTATCCTCCCATTTTTCCATGGAAAATCAACCGTTTTTCCAGCGATTCTTCCCTGGTTCCCGGCCTCCCGTGCTGCCCAGCGCAGCAAGGACCGTCCCGCCCCACGCCCTCGGGCGTCTTTGGCCACTGCCAGCTGTAGGACGCAGAGCGATCGCCCCCGAAAGCGAAAGACCAGAAAACCAATGACTTTGTCCTGTGGAATAATCTGGGTATATAGACATAGGAAATAGGAAATCTGGGTATAGATAGATCGATGGATAGATAGGACCTGCCTGCCGAATGATTACTTTTGGCTATAGACACAGGAGATATACATAACATGTGGGAAAACTAATCATAGAATCTAGCCAATGGAAAGCATAGATTGCTATCGATTACCCTATGGTAAACTAACAGATTGCGAACTGGTACCAATGACCAATTTCTAGTTGATTTACCTATTAAAATGGTGATGTTCGATTACTATTGGCTATTGCTATTATGATTATATACTACCAACGACAATGGAAATATACAGAAATATGGTAAATCTCATCATAGAGTCTAGCCCCTGGAAAGCATAGATTGCTATTGATTACCCTCTGGTAAACTAACAGTATGCAAACTGGTACAAATGACCAATCTCTAGTTGATTTACCTATTAAAATTGTGATGTTCGATTACTATTGGCTATTGCTATTATGATTACTACCATAGACCATGGAAATATACGGAAATATGGGAAATCTAACCATAGAATCTAGCCAGTGGAAATCATAGATTGTTGTTGCTATTAGCCATTATTGCCATGATTGCCACCCATGCTTATTAGTCCCATCATCGTTATGATAAGTTAATGGCTAGTTGTCATAGTGCTTGTAACCAGTAGCAGCTCTTGTATCTGATAGCGCTTACTTGTATGTGTTTGTAATTATTCGTAATTACGAGTATGTTATTTAGTAATGGAATCATCTGTATGTACTGAAAAAATATGGTAGAAACATGGTTAGCAGTTCCAATAAGTAACTACTTATGTATACCTTGCAGGATTTATAGTCACGGCGCGTCATACAGAAGAAACCTAAGATGATGGACAATTATTAACCAAATTATTGAGCTTAAATTCTATTTGCCCAGAATCCAGAAGGGATGTAACAAGGACATACAAGGACTATGAGCATGGCCATCGCGCCTTGAGGAGTGCTGGACTGTCACACTGCATCGGCTTCAATCAGCCATCATGAAATGGTGAACCCTTCCCCCTAACATTAAACACCCCCTTAGAAACCATGGTTTAGTAGGGAAATTCCACATAATTGGGACCATTTATGGGGTGTTTAATTTAAAGGTGATGGGATTATATCTTGAATCTGGATTTTGAAACAGCTCGAAACCCTGCAAAGGTGTCTGATTTTGAGGGTCTTAGTTCGCAATTACTATGCGTTTGGACAAGAGTTTTCTTCAAGCACATGTTTTGGATATGCTTTTACGCTCTGCATGGCTCATCTCTGTTTTACACAAGACTTTCCAACTCTTTCAAACAAAGAGCCAGTGACGCAAGTGCACGAGATCTAGTGGTATAGCATGATGTAGCATCAAGTCGGCGATGGGCAAGGGCAAGAAAATATAGTGACGTAGCACATACCAGAACGCCTCTTCTTCAGAACGTTAGTGCACCCCACTAGCCCCACTCCTTACCCAAGTGCAAGACAAGATCTAGTAACGTAGCAGAAACCAGAACGCCTCTTCATGCCTCTTCTTCAGAGCGTTAGTACACCCCACCCCAGTACCCCTAACCCAACTGCAAGACAAGAAATGGCGACGTAGCATCAAGCCGGTGGGCAAGTGCAAGAGAAGATCTAGTGACGTAGCAGAAACCAGAACGCCTCTTCTTCAGAACGTTAATGCGCTCCACTACACCCACCCCTCACCCAAGTGCAAGACAAGATCTAGTAACGTAGCAGAAACCATCTTCAGAACGTTAATGCGCCCCACCACCCCCACCCCTTACCCAAGTGCAAGACAAGATCTAGTAACGTAGCAGAAACCAGAGCGCCTCTTCATGCCTCTTCTTGAGAACGTTAGTACACCCCACCCCCCCACCCCTAACCCAACTGCAAAACAAGAAATGGTGATGTAGCATCTTATTTATCTTATTATCTTGACTCTTGACGTGGATGGCGGCCACTCGTAGCGCCGCCCATTTGAGTGTGTACCAAAAGAACTTGATACCGGATATACCGGTAGGTTACAGTATAAGACACGTCAAAAACTGAAGAACAGTTAGCTGTCAATAAAAAGAGAAAAGGATTCTGCAGGATGAAACAAACTGCGAAATGGATATTAACGTCAACAGGTTACTCGGAGGCTTATATCTGAGGGCTAACGATCGCTTGGGGCATGCGATCATCCAAGCTAAAATGGCTTCGTCATCGGTGGTACATACAGGCCATCCCAATCGCATCAGGATGGGGTTTGAAGGCGTGCGAGGTCTGTTCAAAATCTCCGGCACATATTGGCACTCCCATATCTCATGTTCCAGTGTTGAGACTTGTCCACAAGAACAGGTGATAGGCAAACCAGCCCGGTTTTGGAGACTGGCTTGCGAGACATAGCCACCGGTTGGTGATGTAGCATCAAGTCGATGGGCAAGTGCGAGACAAGATCTAGTAACGTAGCATCAAGTGGGAGAAATCAAAGAAATGATGCAAGAACAAGGAAAGCGCCCGCGCTCTTTGAGGCACGGACAACATTAACATGCCCCTCTATATGATTTACTATAGTTCCATAATTTAGGCATATGCTGTACTGGAATTGATCGTATTTGGTTCATATATTCATCAAGGCGATGTAACAGAACTAAGTCACTAAGTGTTGCACAATACTGTCAGTGTAAATCTATCAACTTGCATTGAATTTGTATGCCATGGGGATATATACTGCATTGCACGTTAGAACCAATAAAAGCCGTTAACCTGAATTGACCAGTAGTGTGAATATAGATGGACAATACTATCATCAACATCGATCTATAATATGTGTTTCCACATTTTGTGTAGAAATAACATAGACATACATGTAGTGTAGGCACATAATGAACAAACACATCGTGGCTCGTTGGGGTCCAGTTGGGGTCCGCCACTGCAGATCAGGGGTTTACCTTGTAAGATTTCAGCCATCATTCTCGTTGATTGAACTCATATTTTGTGCGGAGATGTCAGTTGATATAATACCTATCAGCATTGTGGACAATGTGAACACACAAGAATCATCAAAAACCCATTGTTATTCATGATTCATGATGATGATTATTATTATTTTTATTTTGAATTATTACGATGATTGTAATTGTGATTTGTATTGCGACGGCACGTTTTGCTGGCGGAGACGTAACCCTTGAAACATCAAACCCACTGTTTTTGGGCCGGAAGATTGCCCCAAAAACACCCGTCCATCCATTGCCTTGCAGTATAGGAAAGAACGTCGCTACCAATTTAATGTCCTTTTGATTTATGATGGTTTATGTGCGAATAAATTGTCTATTTAAGTGAAACAACCCTCGCAATTCTGTTCTGCCATGTTCAAAAGCTGGCTCCTTCTTGGTCTTCTGCATCAGCAGTGTCAGTCTATAGCCACTCCTCTTACTCACACGGCTGATGTAGTCCTCCATCCGATAGTGCGAAGCTATCGCCTGGCAAAACGGATGTGTTAAGGTCTGCATTGATCAAATCACATCGAATGTATGCTTCACTTCACGCATTTAAGGTCCTGTGGATCTAAACACCGTGTCAAAATCCCATGCTTCATGTCTTCCCAAAGGTTCCTTCTGCATTGTCGAGCCTGCCACAGTTTCCAAGTTGGCTTCCTGGGGGATATGTACCAAGGCTACCCTCTGGTGAACTAACATAGCAATGGAAAATGGCTATTTATAGTGGATTTTCCCATTAAGAATGGTGATTTTCCATTGCTATGTTAGTTCACCAGAGGCTACCAAGGGTCATTCTCCAAACTTGGGATCATCCCGATCATCCCTCGGGATGTTGAAATTTTCCGGCCGCATTTTCCGGCGGCCTTCGCTTGGTTCACCACGCCACTGAAGCGCGGCTCCTGTGCGGCCACGTCCTTGTTGAAGTCCCCAACGGCCTCCTCGTCACCTTCAGCGAGGTCTTCAAATCCCATGTTGTCCTCATCCAATTCCACGGGACCTACGGGACCTCAGTTGATGGGTACCAACAAGGTGTCATCAGCCCATTCGAAATGGAGGTTTATAGCTGGGAAATAATCTATAAATGGTGGATTTATGTGGATTTAATGGTGGTTTTGATGAAATAAATGGTGGATTTTAATGTGGATTTTCCATTGCAATGTTCGATTCCCAACCTTCATTTCGCGTTTGGAAGGGCTTCGCAGGTCGCATTTTGTTCTCTCCCTCCAACCTTTTGGGGTCTCTCTATCTCTATCTCTATCTCCATCTCTCTATATATATCTCTCCGTCTCTCTGTTCTCTCTTCTCTCTTCTCTCTTCTCTCTTCTCTCTTCTGTCTTCTCTCTTCTCTCTTCTCTCTTCTCTCTTCTCTCTTCTCACTTCTCTCTTCTCTCTTCTCTCTTCTCTCTTCTCTCTTCTCTCTTCTCTCTTCTCTCTTCTCTCTCCGCTGTCTGGTTTAAGATATTTCGTTCCTGGTGCAATTGATTGGTTTTACCCCTGTTCCAGCAAGAAGTGGAATATAACCTTAGGCACAAAGAAGGCAAGGCTGGAATGTCTGGACATTGTACAAATGATGTCCACTAGGGATCACCCTCCGTCAGGCCACCCCTTAGGTGTCAACTTGTGATCAAATGTCACCTGGTCAAACCCATGCTTGTGGCTTCAAAAATGCTTCAACAAAAACAGCAAACCATTTTTTCCGGGAAACTCACATCATCCCATGCTCGGGTAAACCTGACAATTTTCCATTTAGTGTGATGATTTGCCCATCTAGAAACCTCCATGGTATAGGTTCTTGTCCCATATTTTCCTACCTTTTCCCACCATGTTCCCATGATCTTCCCATTGCAACCTCCATTTATAGTGGATCTTCCCATGATTTTCCCAGTTTTTCATGGGCATTTCCCAAGGCCGGTCCCAGGCACTCACCCCCGCTTGACTGGGATGGGAAGCCTGGATCGCAGCCTCCACAGCTTCCTGGAGTTGGGATCGTTTAAAGGGCATCTGCACTTTCTATCGTTTTTCACTATATATAATATATATATATAACATTTATACATCATATAATATTATTTATTTATATATGTATATATATATAATAGACCAAATATATATAACAATAGATGCAGTATATTATATATATAATGTATACTGACTATACATTCTTACATCTTCATTTTGAAATCCATGACATGTTGCGAACATACAAGCAATCTCGGAAACTCAAGGTTCACGAAAAGGACATCGACAAATTTGGGAAGGTCCCATCGCTTACCACACGGTTGCACAAAAAATATGTATGGTAAATTTGGTGGGCATCGCTTGAAGGATATGTATTATGCACAGGTCTGAAATTACCTTCCAAGAGAGTATCGCTATCCGGGAAGGCTCTGATCCATAATGCCTAGGACCACAATGCCCAAGTACTTCAAATAGTCCAAATAGTACCAGAAAAGCAGGCTCCAAAACATCCAAAATGGGGGTTGGGAAATCTGCACAGATTAAAAACATGCGTAGTAAGACTGACTATGCATCATCGATCACAATGGTGGTTTCACATTATTTCACTGTACCTAGAAATATACTATTCCCGACGGCACACTCTTCCACGGCAAGCAAGTGAGCCGCGGATGATACCTGCCTCCACACTTGCAAACCAACACCAAATTGACAAGAACCCAACCATAGCCATGTCCATTCGGCAAATTGTCCTCCAAAGTAGTTCAAGTTCATAGGAATTCAAGAATTCGAATCTAGCCTTATGGTAAACTACATCCACATCATGTGTGTCTCATCTCAGCCGAGTCACTGATTCATCTAAGACCTCAGATTTCGCCCCCTTTGCTACCCTGAAAAATCACCAACATAGCTGTGGCCCCCTGGGATCTTTGAATTTGATTCATCTGGACGAAATATCATAACTCCCAAATCGTTTTTTTGTGTCAATTTTAGGCCATTTGACCAATTTTCATCAATTTTACAGCTAATTACCCTACAATCAGTCAGACTCCCTACCATCATTTTACAGTTAGATCACCATTCGAATTCTCTTTTTCCTACTCGCAGCCTGGTCACCCGCCCTTGCGCACTCAGCTGCATGCCGGCCAAGGTGGCCGCACGCTCCACACGCTCCGCCTGGCGCCTCTGTGCAGCAGATACAATAGACACGCTGATGCCTCAGCGTTCCAAACGTCGCTTGCCGGGGGAAGTGGGTCTCAAGTAGGGAGTGGGCCCAACTATGGAACATCGGAATGCTTCATTTTGGTGTGACAAATAAAATTCATGTATGCAATGTATGCAATGTATGCAATGTATGCAAAAAATTGCGCACACACACACATAATATATAATATGTATGTATGCATATGTATATATAATATATTATAATATCATGTTATGTTATGTCATGTTATATAGTAAAATATAATATTATATTTTATTATATTATATTCTGTGTGATCTGAAAGCATTCCCCCGTTGTGAACAGAAGTAATACCGACTGTCCGTCTACCGACTTTGTGTTGGAAACTTCTGCCAGGCCACACCGTGAGCATCCCAATGAAAACTCCTACCCTCCGGCAATCTAATAGGTAAGGTAATTTTTCGACTCAAATCTTCCACAGACCGGCAAGTTTCCACAGCTATGTTTGATCACCACCCCCTAAAGAAATCTCAGAGCTTACCTTTTTCAACAAGTTCCTCCTGATGTCAACGATATCCCATAAAAAAGACTCGACCTGCCGAGACCCAGATAAATTCCAAGGCCAAGCTTCATCCTCCAGCTGCGACCCCTTGATCAGAGATGCTCATATCATCCCTCAAAGGATGACCAAAAAAGGTGAGATTGATGTGATCACTTCGAATCCCATGGTCTTTCTGGATCTGCCTCGGCTGCTCGGATATTGAAATTCCATCATAATTCCATCGTTTTTTGAAGGCCACGATCATGACGTCAGACAAGGATCCAAAAGCAATAACGATAATGCATATTGGATCATATGTGTTGTATGATGATAATTATCTTGCATCTCTCTCCACCATTGTTCATAGATGTTAACAAAATCCTTATCATCGTTTCAACTGGCTAAAAACCACATTGCAAAAAAATCATTGCATCAGATGCCTTCCAAGCAACTCTTTCAATCCAGCGCCGGTGATCCTTTCTGGTACTGTCGTTGCACTAGGCACCGATAACCCAGGCATCTGCAATTTAATCCTTGGCGTTTCGTCTGGCAGGGCATTTTTTTACACGCGGCCCTGTACCATGGTCGGCCAATGGCCAAATCCAGCCCGAAAAGATACCCAAAATGGAAGCTGCAATGATATTTATTCCATTTTTCCCATTTTCATGAAATTCAGACATTTGGAACTTGCCATTCAATTCGATGTCATGAAATCAGCAAATTGATTCAAATTCTCTGTACATGGTCACATGCAGCACATGCCATCAGAAACCCGCTGTCTAAAGATAATTTCATGTTGCTTCATGTTTCCATGAGTTTAAAAGAAAAATCAACAATAGCCACAATGTGAGGCCCCCAAGATAGCTAAGTTGGTTTATAACTCCAATAACTATGGTTTATGGTACTTATAGCCTATAGCTACTGGGGCTTTTGTTAACCAACTTATAACGTTTGGGGGCACCACATTGCAGTGTACACAGCGGTAACTATCCTCCACCCCCTTTTTTTCGGGTCAAAACAGGTCAGGTATCTGAAGATTTCGGCCGGCAACCGTCCGTGGAGGCGCCTCCCGCTGGTGCAACGACAGATAAATCTGGTGCTGGCTATCGGCCATCGGCTGCAAGGCTTCATTATCTCGCAGCTCCTAACAGCACGAGGCCAGGCGATGAATCACTTGGGTTTTCTGCAGAACATCTCCACAAAACTAAGGCGAAATCTATGAACCCCCCGGTTTGATACGCCCCTAATAGGAGTTGATGGAAGTCTCATAACATTTGATAAGCCATAATAAGGTTTGACTTGTTGCTGGGGGACCCATGGGTTTCCATGTTTTTTCCAAGTGGCCCGCCCTTGGTGCATGAGACGCTGCAGGGAGAAAGCAATGCCATGCATCTTCTCCAATCGGTTTTTCACGTCCCCCACCTGAAGTCATGGCGATTCAACATCCGAATTGATCCAAGCATCCCTTTTTGTAGCAACCTCCATAGAGATAGAACAGTAAGATCCTGTTCTATAACTTTACGATATCCGGGTTTACTATAGTGACTATAGTGACTATAGTGACTATAGTGGCTGCTGGTCCTTCGGCCCAGATGAAACTGTATTCGGATCGCCATTCGCCAGACTTGTTGATGATAAAACAACGGCAGGGAATATCACTGGCAATTAATGTGGGTAGAACAAGGGGAACTGGTAAGTATACAATAGAAAGTCGGGACATAACACTCATGCATTGACCCCAATTCTTGGAGGTCTGTGGCACAACCCAACACCAGCATACACCAGCCATCCATGGCAAGGCCATTGTCCAAGTGCCATATGTCCTTAATATGTCCTTCATCCTTGACAAACCTAGATTTTTATCACATAAGTTGATCAAACTAAATCAACAAATCAAATCAAATACGCACACGCATGTGCGTGTGTATAATATATATATATATGCACAGTTTTTACATAGTTACAAGACACAAGTAGTCATGTTCATCTATTATAGCCGTATCGCTCATCCATATTCATCCATTACAACAATATCTATTTATCTTCATTCACATTTACATTATGGATTGAATATATATATATATGATATATGTATATATATATATGATATATGTATATATATATAATTATATAAATTATATATGTGTAGCCTCCGGAGTTTTCCCAGCCCACTTCTACCGGTCTTCTACCGGTCACTCCCGGTCTCGGAACGTGGCACCGTGTCTTGTGGCTGCGCTTCCACGTGGTGCTCGGCCTGCGCCCAGCGCACGCGGAGCTTCAGCGGGTGCAGGGCCCGGGTGCCGGCCATGGGCGGCGGGGTGCCCAAAGCGTCTCCTGTCGCTGCAACGGAACACGGGAGGAAATGCTGGAAGTTCACCATGAAAAGATCCTTAGTTTTTTGATGATTTAAGCATTGTACAGTATATTACCCTCTGGTAAACTAACATAACTATAGAAAATCACCATTTTTAATGGAAAAACTCACTATACATGGGCCATTTTCAATAGCTATGTTAAATTATCAGAGGGTAAACATTGGGTAAAACATGATAATTTCGGATTGAAGTTCATCTGTATCAATGGCTCAGGATTTTTTATCGCATGGACACGTGGGGATTTAAGATGATTGAACGACCAAAAAATGGAGATGTTGGGATGAAACAAACAATTGGGGATTGAGGAAATTTACTGGGATGACTATGGATGACTAGTTTTTTGACTAGTTTTTTGGTCAACTAGAAATGGAGATTAGAATATATTAGAATATCCAGACTCGATTGATTTTGTTGAGATGTTTTGATGCTGAAGCTGATGCGCATTTGCCCGTACAAATAGGGGTGTGTATACTATAGATTTTTTTCCATCACCCATTTCTGGGGTGACATCAATGTAGTCATGATAAGCAATAAGAAACCAAAACCCGGCAGCAGTACTCTAAAATTGTGTCGTGAAAACAATGATAAAAGAGCATCATATAAGTACAGTGCAGTACATAGTTGCGTTTCTCTCGAGGGCTAGCAGAAAATCACACAACAATAAAAACACAAAAACAAAACAATGATCTATCGTCATTACAATCTTCTTTAGGACGAAACGCAAGGGAAAAGGCAGCAAAAGAGATGTTGGAAGAAAACGAGAACAGGATAACGAACAGAAGGAAACAAGAACATTCCCGATTCGGGCTACTGACACAAAGATGAGGGCATACAAATGCGTACAGTGTACTGTGAATACCAGCTCTGCGATGGAAGATGTTGCTGTGTGAACCTCGGTGTAAGTGTTTACTCCCTCCGTTTTTTGGACCTGGAAAACATCCTTCAATCAACCCCGCCATGCTAAATCAGTGACACAGTGAGTGCTCAGCCCGTCTCGCGTTTGACAAAGTGTGTAGATCACGGCACCCCCCCTGCAACGACTGTCACCTAGGGCTTTAAGATTCAAAGTGCTCTTGGAATTTCATAGTTTCCAAGCGTTGATAAGGTGTATATAAGGTGTATATAATTTTGTCAATTTCATGGCTCTTTGATGTCAGTGAAACAATGTGAAACATACCATGATAAAATTCCATAAGCATCTACAAGTTGTTTCTCCATAAATCGGAAGAACGTCACCATTCCCATCTGGATAAATGATATCCAATTCTATCCCAGTCTATCTTCACAAAAATCCCATTATACAATCATTATACGATATCAAAAATCACCAAACTTTTGTTGGTGAAATCATGTTAAATAAATTTAAATAATGTTTTTCATAAAACCATCTCCCCCCTTCCCCTCCCCTCTTGCCCACATCCTTACATCCTTCCCCCTCCCACCACCCTCCCCCCCAAATCTCCTGTCTCCAGCTCCCCTTGATTCATCTGCACCCGCTCAGCCCAGCTGAGTCCGGCACCCCCCGGCGCCCAGGGAGTGGGGCGGATCGTAGGGGCGTCAGGGCCGCCGAAGGGGCCGGGGCCCGTGGGAGGGCCAGTATCCAGCACCTGCCATTGGAGGGGCTATAGGGGAAAACACAGTAATTATATCAAAAGGATATAGAAAAATAAGTTTCTGATATTTGAGCTTGAGGTTTGAGGTGGATCTTGACTTGGATTCTAAAGTCTTCTATTTTTGTCATGCGAATATCACATGTTAATCTTTGGGGGGCACTGTTTAAGGTTGTGATAGATTATGATAGATTATCTGTGTGTAAACTCACAGATGTTGCTGCGAAAGTTGGTCATCTGCAGGTGTTGGGGCTGTAGATCAAGTGCCCATTCAGATCGAACTATCGCGAGGTCGAAGGCCGCAATTAACTGCAGGTAGATTGTGTAGTCAGTAGTCAATCTAAAGCTGATACAGTAGAACATGGATTTGTCTGAAAATAGGATGCCCCCAAACCCCGTGGTTTATAATCATTTTCCGATTAAAGTGCGTAAATTGAGGGTTCATCCTCCAATTCCAGCCAAACCACATAGATCATACAAACATATGCGGTCTAGATACGGTTGCCATCGGTTGCCCCTGTGGTTACCCACAGTGAATATCTCATGAAATATCTCCATACCCATTTCTCTGGTGAATTCTGATGGTTTCCAGCCATCAAATCTAAACCCAAGCGCCGCACCTGTTGCGAGCGCTTCTGTCTCAAGACATCTGCCAGGCTGCTAGGTGCTGCGGTGCCTAGTGCTGGACCCGCATTTCCACCGCGCGCCACGGTGTAGCTGATGTTCAACGGTTTGTAGGCCTTCTTGCCTGATAAGGGCAGTTGAAGTGCATGAAGCATCAACTATTAGTAACTAAAGGTGGAGGAAAAGGACACGAAAAAAATCAAGTCGCAATCTGGAGATTGTGATAGCGGTGATAGCTAGCAGCTTTTTTTTAGCCTTCACCACAACTGAATGTGACATGAGTTCCCACACAAAGACGAGAAACTCTTCTCCTGAATTAATTAGCTCCCTTCCCAAGTATGCTTGAGACCCATTTGCCTAACCAACATCGCCTCTTGCCCACCAGCAAGTTAACAAAAGGTTATGAAAAACAATCATGGTTTCCCTCTAGGAAGAGATGCCTTCCATTATTGCAAATTCTCCGCATAAACATGCCAATTCATTACAGGGTAAATCATTTTATCCCAATTTTATCCATAAAAATCGACCCAACTGATGCTTCAGTTCCATCCAGCCCAGGCCTTTCTTGGCAGTGCCTGTCTGTCCGCCAGGATTGTTCAGTGTCGCTTGCGCATCCTCCTCTTCCTGCAACATTGCAGCCAGCAACGCGTCCTCAGCGAGGTGAGCTTTGAGGTTGTGGGATGTTGTGGTGCCAGGGAACTGCTTAAGATATTGATGGGATCCAAATCCATAACAGAAACTTCAAGTACACGGTACATATCTAAATAGAAAATTAGTACTAAATGAAGTTAGTTTCAATTACGGCTTGTATTCTAATAAAACGAAAAATCCTGACAGACATTAGATTTCCCCTCACACACATACATACATACATAACATAACATAACATTACATTACATTACATTACATATAATACATACATATGTATATATATATATGTACAATTATATACACATATAACTACTTCTTTTTTTGTCTCTCTCTCTCTCTCTGCATCACTTTCGGGCAGGTTCACCACATTAATTGTCTCCATTGGCCAAATCACAATGATTCAACTGAACTTGAAGCAATTTGGGGATCCCCACCCGCATAGATCCCAAGGGTCAGCTGCGAGCTGTTCATCGGGCACGTCCGGCTGCCCATACCCCGCGGAGAAAGGCTCTGGTGCGCGAGAGGAGGTGGAGGGCTGCACATGCATTGAAGGGAAGCCGGCCGAACCTGGAGGTAGTGGCGGTGGGAGATAAATCCACCACGGATCTTCTGATTTTATGTATGTTTATGTCCAAAATGTGGATTTAGATGCAGCTCATTAATTATCAAGAATTAGGGAGCTTGACCAGGAAAAATCGGGGAGACCATCCCGGGCGCTAGATCTACCATGTCACAGCATGTCACAGCTAACAGAAAAAGGCTGCTCATGATCTTTAAAAATCTCGCACGCTGCATTTTGCTTCCTGTCGTTTCTTCACCCTTCCAGAGGACGACCGATCCTTCCCCATTTGTTTCTGTCAGGGTGCCTTCTGGCGCCTGTCTTGATGTGTTCTTGAGCTGGACGGCCAATGTAGCCCGCTCGTGCATGGCCCACTTGGGGCAGAATTCCTCACGCCAACTTGCAGCCAGTTCGGGGTTCAATATTCTATGCACGGGACAGATCTCCTACAACTGTGAATGGGAACCCTTGCAACCACATCCTTGGAGACGGATCCTAAAGTAAAATGTCCCAAGAATGGTTACAGTGCCGTGATAGTGCCATGCAAACATCTGTTTTTTCAACATGCAACCCAGTACCCCCAAGACCGCAACTGTAGACATGCCCGCGTTTTCTTGGTGAATTACGAATACCTTTTGCCTCCCTGGAACTGGCTGAATGACATCTTCTGCCGACCGAAAAAAATAGGCTCACAGGACGAATTGTGCACTCAAGCTATTATGGGAATATTATTTCGATATATGCACACACACACATATATATATATAGACGTGTATAGTAACTCCCAAACTGAAAAGAAACCATGTTTTGGTGTTTTGGACAATTCCCCATACATAAACCATCTTTAGCCACGGCTCAAAATTGGACACCAATGGGCCCGCAAAATCGGTCATGATTGGAACTGAACCATCCATGTGTGTGGTTGTTCACAGCTGAATGGCAAGCGAACAAAACATGAGTTTGTCTGATTGTGGGATAGTCTTTAAAATGTACAGTAATGAATGGTTAAGCATCATATGATCATGTTCCCTATCAACATTTGCCATAAAAATTGAGCGTACCCTTCCCAAAAGATCCGATCCAAACGTCAAATGAGGAACCATTTGAAACCACAAGCAAGCTGGCCGTCATGGGGTTATTCCCCCCATTCACAGTACTGAATTTCGACGGCACCATGAAATGCTATCCAAAAAATGGCAAACTATACAACCAATTCGATAAGGAAGCTTAAATGGAGGTTTCCTGAAAATGGGGGGGTACCCCTAAATCAATTTTTTGTTATCATTTTTTAGATCGGATGTTCCAGTAATTATAAACCATCCAGCTATTGAGGTACCCAGATTTTTGGAAACCTCCAAATCATGTTTTTCAGGGTTGCACCCTTTCATTGCCAAAAACTATTGGCGCCTGCAGCAGCTCTATGAGTTCCTTTTGCTCAGCCGCCGCCGCAGTGGACAGGAGGTACTCCTGAGCAAGGAACCCCCCTTGGAAAACCCAGTGGAAAATGAGGATGCATCAAAAACAGGAGTCATATGGTGAACTGAGCAACTTAAATTGATCATCTGATGAAATCAACTAGACTTGATGTCATTTTTTCGGAGTTTTTCAGAAAAGGTCAGGCTCTTGAAATGGAGGTCACCCCTAAAAAACCGCCATACGTCATGGAAAGGTGTGGAATCCCAACGGTTTGGGTCGGGTGGCTTTTTTGAGCCACTGGCCCCCGTCGACCACCAACATCCGTCGTATCGTCGTGAGGAATCAGTAGGAATCCCTTTAGAGTGTCTGCCGGGGAGTGAAAATGCCAAACGAATTGTGAGCAAATCACAATCTTTGAATGAGTTGAATGAGTTGAAAAAAGAAGTGGCCAGTTGTTGCACTTCACTATTTAATAGAACTCATCACCATGAAAGATGTGACTCTGAATGATTACTGGAGACAGCTGGAGACTAGAAATTGATAGCCCTTGCTTTCCCACCTTGCTTAAACCCCAACCTTCGGAGCGGCACGGCACCAAGTCTCGAGACAATCGTCGTCAAAGGGCAATTTCTTGCCTTTCATCAACTTTTCAATCTTGATCCTCGCCATCTGCGACATCTGAAAATATCTGATCAATTCTGATCAAATCTGATCAACGTGCGAATTGGCCTCACTTTTTGCTGCGAATCCTTTGAAGCTTGGGCCACACAGAGATGAGTGATCAGATCTTCATGGTGCCGCGGAGATTGGACATAGCTCGATCATCATATTTATATACATACTTTCCAAAAATAATGTAGCGATAATAAACATGATAATTGTAATAACAATGAACATAACTAACAATAACATAAAATAGCATGTTTTTTTGTATTTTTATGATATCTACGTGTGTTTTTAAAAATATTACCGTACTACTTGAAACAAAACATGCTATGTCGCTATGTTTCTGAAAGTGGTTGTGCTCACATCTCCCAGCAAATGTGAAGTACTTCACGGCCAAGCCGCGGAACTTTGCTCAGCCTTTTTTGAGGTCAGACTGCACCAGCAATGTCCCCATCTCATTCCCATCTCATTCCCATCTCATTCCCATCTCAAAGCTAAGGTGGAACTCCAAGAAATTGAGCCTCCTGGACATATTGCTTCAACTCCCTGGCGACCTGAAGTCCCAGGTCAGGGTGACTTTTTTGGTGACATGTCACGCCACGAGTCACAAGCCTGGCACCCTAAAAATCCCATAAAATACCTGACTAATGGTTGTGTGTGCCCCCCAAATATCGTATTAAGATGTATTAAGAGGTTTTGACCCATCCCCATACCTGAGACCACCAAAATCCACCAACCACATCAACCACTCAGTTGTTTATTACTCGTTTGGCATGCCCTTGGCTCCTGACTTCATCGTACGGTCGGTCAGTAGAGAGCCTTGGAAGGCGTCCAAGCCATGTCAGTCAGGATTGGTTGGTTGAATTGGAATTGTGCGTTCAACATTTGGGTGTGTCTGAAAATAGTGTACCCCTAAACCCAATGGTTAATGATCATTATCCCTATTAAATGGCTATAATTGGGAATATACATACCCCTGCACATTTACCCCCCTGACCCAAGGCAACCATTTTGTAAGGGACCCAGGAGTTAACCTTACAAACATCCAGGGTTAGGGGTTTACAAAATGGGCTGGGTACCAGGCTTGGTGTGATTCCCCAGCAAACACCGGTGAACCCCTGGTTCCTGGACATGGCCAAGATTTCAATACCCTTTTTTGCACTGCCTGAAATGAACCCAAAATTGCGTTATGAAATGATTGGCCCCGAGTTCATTTTGAAGAAAGTTGGCTCTTACAAAATGATTCGCCCAGCAAAAAACACGCTTTTTACAAAATGGCATGGTTGACCAGAAAAATAATTCCTCGCCGAAAAACTCACGGCACAGGCCGCTATCTTCGAAGTCCCGCAGGCGCGGGCCCATGGACAAAGCAAAATAATTCCTCCAAGGCTGGCTGGTGTGGGGACAGCAGGGAGTTGGCATTCCCAAGAATCCACGTCCATATCATCCATCGAATCGGCCCACTCAAGCCCAAGGAATCCAAGGAATAAGATCGAAGCATTGAAACAAATACGAAGCCTGGCTTTGTTCGGCACAATGATGCCTGGCCTGTGATTCATCAAGATCCCATCTTGAAACACTGAAAGCAATCACAAAGTGACCCTCTAAGGTGCAAAAACCCACCAAGATCATCCGATTTGCCCAGGAAATCATAGGAATAATGGTGAGTGGCTGACAGGACCTGATCCGCTGCTCAGCCGAGTGGACCTGGCCACGGTCTCCAAGGATTCCAAGGTATCAATTGGGATACTCTAAGCAGGTTGGACTAAGATGGACTAAGAACTAACACCACCAACCAAAAATAGTAGAGGTCGAAACAAATCATGATGTTGGACATTCAAAAACTGCGAGCTGCCCATTTGGGTGGTGTTTGGTCTTTGGCCCATGCCCACACCGCCGATCAGAGCTGCAAATGGGGCATGAAACATCACCTGGCTATGGGCTCTGACATGATATGACTGGAGAACCATAAATCTTAGATGGCCATGGGCTAGCTAACTGGTTGCAAACCCCTTAAATTGAGGCATGCCTTACTTCAAACCATACCTAATTCTACCATTTGAAATCGTTCTTGCCCTATGAATGGGGTACAGCCTCCCTGCTGGTTAGCTTAGACGCGGAACCTTAGAGCGCCTGAGTTCCCTGCCTCATGCTCTCGCATGCCCCTCCGGTCTATTCTGTCCAGCAAGACCTTCAGAGGGGACGCCGTTCGGCTAGCAAGTCATGCAGCAGTGGCTCTAACTTTTTGGGGACAACCTGCCAAAACTGCTGGATACACTTGAACCCTTTCACTGGGGGGTACTGTACATCCCACCATTTGGGGGTTCCCTCTTTCACGTCGTTCTTTTGCCATAAACCCCAGCTCACTGGCGCACTGTACCACATGTCGTTGATCTGTAAACACAATTTATCATCTATGTACTGGGCCAAAAGACACCAGCGCCCCATCCAGCTGTTCCAGCTGTTCCCCCATCTATCCGCGCAAACGTCGATCAAAATCCTCCAGATCACTCTTAGCACCTTGCGTTTCGACATCCTTGGCCGTGCTGTAGACAGAGTCACTGGAACTGATTTCTTTGGTACTTTGCCGGTATTTTCTTGCCTCAGCCAACTTGCCTTCAATGGACCCAGATCGAAGGATGTTCAGCCATTGCTGTCCTGGGTGGTTCTGACATGTTTCAACCACATCCCAAATCTTGTGGTATGTATATTTTCAATTTGGTATGTATATGTTCAATCTATATGTTCATATGTTTCAGCCAATATACTATGTACATCTTCAACTATGTATATGTTCAATTGCATGCGAATCCACGTGCCTGCTCGCTTTGTCATAAATCCCTATGGACCTCGATCATCATGACCAAAAAAACATTGCATCTAGCATAATTAGGGAAAACAACTACCAAAAACGATGCCAGAATATATGTAATAACCAACCAACAAAAAAATAAAATATGATATATGTACATATGTAATCTAAAATATACTAAATATATAGCATTTCATGCTATGCATATATATATATGTATAATATTATAAATTATGTGTGTAAATATATATATATATTATATCTCTCTCTGCATCGCCCTCTCCAAGAGTCAGTCACAGACTGAAGGCGAGCCAACGGCCCAGCCCATAGATATACATTTTTTTAAAAAAGACTCCTGAATGTATAGAACCTAAAGATAATGATTCATTATTAGATCATATTATATATTATATATTATATTATATATTGTATTATATTATACATATTGTATTTATATATAATATTCATATATTAATATTATATTACATTACATTACATTATATTATATTATGTTATATTATGTTACATTATGTTATATTATGATACATTATGTTATATTATATTATGTTACATTGTTATATTATATTATATTATATTAAACAACATAATATAATATAATATAATATAACATAATATAATATAATATAATATAGCAATATAATATAATACAATATAATATGATATAATATAATATAATATATAATATAATATAATATATAATATAATATAATATAATATATAATATAATATAATATATAATAATATAATATAATATAATATATAATAATATAATATAATATAATGTAATATAGTATAATATAATATAATATAATATATAATATAATATAATATAAAATATAATATAATATAATATAAAATATAATATTATATTATATTATATTATATCATGTAATATAGTATAATATAATATAATATAATGTAATATAGTATAATATAGTATAATATAATATATAATATAATATAATATAATATATAATATAATATAAAATATAATATAATATTATATTATATTATATTATATCATGTAATATAGTATAATATAATATAATATATAATATAATATATAATATAATATAATATATAATATAATATAATATTATATTATATTATATAGTAATATAATATAATATAATATAATGTAATATAGTATATAATATAATATAATATAATTTAATTTAATATAATATAATGTAACATAATCTAATATAATATATATATATATATAAGACCTCCTGAAGTTCAGCATCCAGCATCGATTCCTGTTCCTCTTCTGTATCTCCGCGTTTTGTTTGCCCAGGCCAAAGAATCGCCATGCCGGTGCCGCGAAGAAGCCCACGGCGTAAGTGAGAAGTGCTGGGTACCACGTCTTCACCGTGGCCAGGAAACCCACCAGCTTGAGCGTGCCGAGGCCCGCGAACTGGGCACCTGGGGTTTTTTGAGCAGGTGAAGGGGATGGAAGATGATGGAAAGGGCTGGTTGAAACGGGTTAAACCATGAGAAAACCCATGTGAAAGCCATGGATAAATCATTGTTAATGTATACTGAACAATGTTGAAATATGATGAACCACGCTTTTTTTGCTACCAGTTTGGCCCATCTCCACCTAAGTATGCTGCACCCACCAGATTGGCCACCCCCAAGAGGCCCACCAAAAACAGGTTCCCATCATCTGCGCGGGAGAATGGAACCTCCTGCTCCTCTAGGATGGCAGGAGGCTTTCCACCTCGGGAAGATCCTGCAGTGGTTTGGAGATCATCGAAGACGTAGACGATCTGACCATTTTGCGCCACTTCAGGGCGGCCATTCAACTTGGAGATGGCTGGGAGGACCCAGCTCTCATTCACATTGTAGCTGCTCCCTTCCTGGATGAACACTTGACACACCTACCTGGCTGGGCTTAATTTTAGGGCTTGTTGCTTTGAATCCCTCACTAAAAATCATCAAGGCGGAGGACGAAGTAGGTGCGGAAACCAGATCTTGTTGAAACCACCAGCACGTCCAATATTGGTGTGGCATATTGTAGTGTGTTGTATTGTAAGTTGTGTTGTGTTGTACTGTCGTATTGTATCTGCATTGTGCTGTATTGTATGGATTGTTTTGTATTTGTATTGTATTCTGGCATATTCTGGCGTATCGTATTGGATTGTGTTGCAATTGTTCGAATTTATATAATAGAATGCCATGCAATGGCAATCTATTTATTGATGCACGCATGCACGCATGTATGTATCTCCGTACTTTTTCTTCAATATACAGTACATCATAGTACAT